AAAAAAAAAAAAAAAAAAAAAAAAAAGAAAACACAAAAAAGTAATTAGAAAATGCCAAAGACAGAAAAGCAAAAGAGAAAAAAAAATAATATCAAAAAAATTGGTAGAAGAGAGGAAATAGAGAAGAAGTAAGTGACAGTGACGATTTTTTTTTGGCGACGATGGAAGTGTGTAGAAGCAAATTCCAAAAGAGTAAAAAAAAAACAAGTCAAAGTGAAAAGAGAAAGATATGCCGCTTCTGCAGTAAAATTAAATTTGCAGTTTCTTTTTTTTAATGGATGTACCTTACTAAGCTTACCTTCAACGACTCCTCAAAAAAAAAAAAGAGAAAAAAAACTAATTGGCAACTTAGTGCCAGAAGAAGGCAGAAGCCAATCAATGAATAACAGAGATTTTGAACTGTTGCTGCAAATGAAAGAAAGAATAAAAAAGAAAGTAAAGAAAAGCATTAATAATAACGTTCAGAAAAAAAATAACCCATAGGCCATATCTATAACGGCTTTATTTTTTCCGGTAATGGCCACTTAAAGAACCGGAACTTCAACTATCGTCACGAAACCGTGTCGGATTGAACATAACAACTCACTTAAATCAAAAAAGACAATAAAAAATAGAAAAAAAAATAAGAAATCTCAAAAAAAAACATCTCATTTTGCAGAAGGAAAAAAGACGAATAAAAAAACTGCAACAAATATACAGAAAAAGAAAAAAATTACATAAAAATGTGTAACAAATAAATGTATCTGTAAAAGTTTTTTTTCGTAATATTTACAACATAGTTCCCTCCCGTTTTTAGGCCTTTCCTCTTTGCCGTTCCCCCACTATACCTCATCTTTTAGGCTGTCTCAGCCGGCTTCGACGTATTCGTTATTTATTTCGCCGTGTTCCCATCCACTCTCACGCAGAACACGGATTGAACTGCTTGCTGCAAGTGTGAAAAAAATCTTTTCGCAGGTCATCTGTCTACATTATTCAGCGTAGCTGTTCAGCACTCTGATATA